ATATATTGTTCCCCAGTGTGGGACAAATAAAGGTTATCTTATCTATTTATTTTTATTTTTCAAAATCGTTCAGCCCTAGGATTTTTTTTTACGAGCAATCTTAATTGTTGTTGTCATCGCCAGATTATGATCTCATTTGTTTCTGTAACCAATTTCAACAAGTCCTGATTGGTTTTGGCCGAAAACCCGCCAGAGTTACGAGCGAGCGGCGTTACAAGCACAAACGCTGCATTGTAGCTGTCCGGCGCCCTTGTTTGACGCGTCTGTCGTCTCCTCACTCGTTGCCGTTTCACTCACACCTCCATCCCTGCCAAACGCTGTTTTCATTCTGTCTGTAGGAGCGGCGCAGCGAGGATCCGTGCCACTTCGCGGAGAGTAACAGAAACCAGGCCGTGCTGACGGACCTCCGCAGAGCCACTCAGTACGAAGTGCAGGTCCGGGCGCGCACCATGGCCGGCTACGGCAGCTTCAGTCCCGCGGCAGTCTTCCGCACCCTGCCCGACGGTAATACAAAAACAAACGGGAATATCGCGAAACCACAAAGGCGCTCGCGTGGGACGTAGAAAAGACGACCCCGTTCACCTCCTGCAGACATTATTCATCGTGAAAACCGAACATCTTGCAATGTTGACTAAAGTACCAAACATTCCCGAGTCTACACCAAGATTTGACAGTTTTTTGTTTTTTTTTATGCCCCAACCCTCCAGAGTTTACTTTGTGTGTCATCTCACTCCCGAAACGCGAAATGTGATGAAACCATAACCTCTTCGAGGGAGGTTAAAACCAAAGACTTTGTTTTTTTCTTTTTTCCTCACTTGGTTCAGCAATCTTCCTAACGCGTGCCTGCGTAATCTCTTGAAATGAAATTAATGTCGTCCTTGTACCGGGTTATCGTCTTTGCGCTGACAATCTTATTCAAGTTCTTTTTTTTTTCCTGCTTTCCTTCATTTCCTCCTCTTCTCATACTTTTGTTGGCCATTGATGTAAATCTCCTCCTTTGACTTCTGTGGCTGCTTTAATTTTTTTTTTTGCTCTGTTCTATTCTGCCAGGAATCGACTCTTCCTCCCAGTTCTTGGTGCCGGGCATCCTTATCGCCATCGGGATGCTGCTGCTCGTCACTTTCATCTTTGTGGCCGCTTACTGCATACGGTGAGAGTCAGGGCGGGGAGGAGACACACACGCGGCAAGAATAACAGGAAATGGAAAAATGGTGGAGGGGAATGTGGCGTTTGACCGTCTCGCGCCGCTTTGTTCTGTTGTTGACGCAAAAATCACTTGTCGCCGTGCACTCTGCTTTGCTCCCTCTTTTGTGTCGTCGAGTGGCGCGCTCGTTTCGCTTGCGCGGCTAAAACTTATTCCTGTTCTTAGGGGCCGCCTCGGTTGGGCTTCATTGTTTGGGCGAGCCGCGTGCGATGCCGTCTCAAGTAGAGAAAGTGTGTGTGTGTGTTTGTATACGTTGATGTGGGTGAGAGAGGGCGCAATGATGGTGGAGGTAGCGGGCAAGGGGAGACAGGATGCAGGCGTCCCAACCCTGTTTCCACAGGACAGGAGAACAATAGCAGTGACCTTGTGACACACACACACACACACACACACACACACACACACACACACACACGCTCACAAACGGGTGGCGGAGGCCCAGATCTGCTTCTAAGGGTGGTGCATGTTCGCTATTTTAGGCGTATGAGGTGGATGAGGGACTAGAAATGGAGGACGGCAGGCTTCCAGCAGCTACACGGTCGATAGAGTTTTACAGTGTCATTAATTAATAACTGTCGAATGAATGACATTTTTGTTATTTTTAAAAAAAAAAAAAAAAAAAAAAGATCATCGCCACCAGATATTTTTTCACGAAAAAGTTGTCGCTTCACTCCACGAGTGTTGTTGAAAGGGGGAAAAAAAAATCCTTCTACAGCAAAAATTTCTTTTGAACTCTAAATAATCTTGTCATCCGATAGTGTTTTTATTTTTCCTGCGCATTTCTCATGAAAAAAAAAATAATAATAAAATCAGCCATTGTGTGATTTTGTTATTGTTTTTCCATCTTCTCCATCTGATCATTTGCATTCATTTGATTCGCCTCGCGTTCAACCGATGGAGCGTGACCGTCTTTGTCAGGAAAAAAAAAACAACAACAACAAAGCTAAACGTGCATCTCTTATCTCCTCTAATCGTATTTTGTCCCCCGTCTACCTGCAGCAGACACAGCCGCATTAAGGACCCCGAAATGAGCGACAAAAACAGCCAGTACTTAGTAGGCCAAGGTAATGCGCTCGCTCCAACGTGCTCACATCTCGTGAAAAAATCCTCCCTTTAATCTTGACGCCGCTCGTCAGCGCTCAGACTTCTCTAACCTTTGTTTTCTCTTCCTTTCCCACGACTTTGTTTGCGTTACTCCCATAGGGGTCAAGGTTTATATCGACCCCTTCACCTACGAGGACCCCAATGAGGCAGTGCGCGAATTTGCCAAGGAAATCGATGTTTCCTTTGTCAAGATTGAGGAGGTTATCGGAGCCGGTAAGCCGCCAGTCGCACGCGCTCATCATTGGACAGAAAGAAGCTTGGTTTGTCCAATGTTTTGTGTTTTGTTTAGTTACAGATGATCTTCTTTTGAAATGCCATTATGTGAAGTTTATCTAATTTACTAAGGCGAAATGGATTCAGTGACATTTAAAAGCAATTTGTGTTATTCTTCTTTATCAGGCTGAATTCAATGCCGGCACAAAGCTATTAACTGATAAATGTGTTAGCCGTATTCACAGCTCCCGTTCAAAGCAAAGGCCAGGCCTCGCTGCAAGCAAGCTTTACGTTAACTCCTCCCTCCAAATGATGTCAAGTGGCGAAATGTGCGGATGTGTCGCGACAGGAGAGTTTGGCGAGGTGTGCCGAGGCCGACTGAGGGTGCCCGGGAAAAAAGAAAACTACGTCGCCATAAAGACGCTCAAAGGCGGCTACACCGAGAAGCAGCGGCGCGATTTCCTGTCCGAGGCGTCCATCATGGGCCAGTTCCAGCACCCCAACATTATCCACCTGGAGGGCATCATCACAGCCAGCTGCCCGGTCATGATCCTCACCGAGTTTATGGAGAACGGCGCTCTGGATTCTTTTCTGCGGGTCAGCTCGGTGGCAAAATCGCAACCCCGTCGCGCATCGTCATCGCGTTCTCGGACTGAAACTTTTTTTCTCCGTTCCTCCGCGTAGCTTAACGACAGCCAGTTCACGCCCATCCAGCTGGTGGGGATGCTCCGCGGCATCGCCTCGGGCATGAAATACCTTGCGGAGATGAGCTACGTCCACCGAGACCTGGCGGCTCGCAACATCCTGATCAACAGCAACCTGGTGTGCAAGGTGTCCGATTTTGGTTTGTCGCGCTTCCTGCAGGAGAACTCCTCTGACCCAACGTACACCAGTTCTTTGGTAAGCCCGCTAGCCTCAAACCCAGTCACAAAGCTCGCGAGAAGCCGGAACTCATTCTGCTGTATCAAAGGCGAATTACGTGGGTGTCTCTTTTTTTTTTTCTCCCCCCCCACTTGCGCAGGGAGGGAAGATCCCAATCCGCTGGACAGCGCCGGAGGCGATCGCCTTCAGAAAGTTCACGTCAGCCTCAGATGTGTGGAGCTACGGGATCGTCATGTGGGAGGTCATGTCTTTTGGAGAGAGGCCCTACTGGGACATGAGCAACCAAGATGTAGGTTGACCACAAAATCCACGTCAGAATATCATTTAGCCAGATGTCATGTACGACCGGCACAATCGAAATGTGCCACATTAACGCGCAAGGTTAGATTAATACCTTATGGTTGGTTTTACTCGACAGCTGGCATTCATATTCTCAAAGCAGATTTTTTTTGAATTATCGGAATCGGATCGTGAATCTTCACGCTCGAACGTCCACCTATTCTTAGTTTGCTGTTCACAAATGGTCCCGATGTGTTGAAAACTCACCTATTCGCGGGCTCTATGTGTATTTTCGTATTTTTTGTAATGCGCTAAGATGTTAGATCTTTGTTGAGGAGGGGGTAAGTTTAATCCGGGTTGTTAGCGGAAGTTACAGAGAGTCTCCATCACATGCGTTTGGGCTTTGCTCTGATGAGCGGCTAATTACAACAGTCAAGCTAAAGGGGTAATTCGCTATTTCAAGAAACAGTCAAATCTCAGATAAGGAGACTGTCCCATAGAATAACCCCACCAGAATAATTGCATTTTTTTTTTCCCTTTGGTCCAGGTAATCAACGCGATAGAACAGGACTATCGGCTGCCCCCACCGCCCGACTGCCCCACCCACCTCCACCAGCTGATGCTGGACTGCTGGCAGAAGGATCGCTCGGCGCGGCCTCGCTTCGCCGAACTCGTCAGCGCTTTGGACAAACTGATCCGGAACCCCGCGTCGCTGAAAATAGTCGCCCAGGAGGGAGCCGGGTGAGTGGACGCACGCGCGCTCGGTTGACTGACGGGTCGTCGGTCAGATTAGGAGCGGCGACGATGACGACGACGAGCGCGCGCTGTGTCCTTTTCGTACCGATTCCGCTGTCGTGTCAGTCGCATGACGGGCATCCATCCGCCTCCCGCTGTTCAACTTACGTAGCGCCCACCCAAGTCCCGCTGTGACCTGTCGGCAGCTTGCTGTGCACGTTTCCCTCCGTCTACATCGGGGCCGTCCCCCATCTCGCATACAGTAGAGGACACCCCACCCCTGACAAATCCAATTGTTTGCCCCTGTCAATCACGTGGTTCACATGATATGTCGGCATGTCCGCAGGAATGCGGCTGCAGCGCCAAGTATGTAAGCTGCTCGGGTTTTTTGTTTTGCTGTTGTTGCGCGTGTGACTTCCTTTGT